AAAAAAAAAAGTCTGACCTGGTGGAATGAACTCCAAATGCCCTATTACCCTCACGTCAAAAAACAAATGAGCATCATCTTGATCTTTGGTTTCACTTGAGGAGTTTTTTATGGATGAGGTGATGATGGCATCTTCCACTGGCTTGATTGTTGTTTGCTTCTGGGCCCAAAGAATAGCACCATGTCTCATCAACAGTAGTGACCTTGGGGGAAAACGTCTGGGTCACTTCATAACTGTTCTTTCAAAGCATGGCATGTTTCCTCTTGAAGGTGGTCAGTCAGAATCTGAGGCACACATTGCACAGCGACCCTTCTCATTCCCAAATCTTCCATGAAAATTCTCCAAACTGAGCTCCAAGTTACTCCAGATAGCATCACCATCTCTTCAATGGTCCTGCATCGGTTTTTGAGCACAGGTGCACAAAATTTGTTGATATTTTTGTCTATTTGGGAGGTTGACGGATGTCCAGAATGAGGTTTGTCATCAATTGACATTTCACCTTTTTGAAACAAGAAAACAACGCATACACTTGTGTTTTTCCCATAATGCTGTCCTTGTAAACTGTGTTCAACATCACAAGTTTCTGCAGCATTTTACTTGAGCAGGAAACAAAATTTCACAGCAGCAGGCTGATCTCTTAAATTGGTCATCACACAAACAACCCAAAAAACAAAACAAACAAACAAAAAAGATTTGAGTGAAACTGCTTCTGCAAAAAAAATTCAGTGACCAGAGAGAACCCTCTCAGGTGATGCCACTAGGTGCACTAAGTCAGAGTGAGTTGCTTGATGCTAGCCTAGGGGGAAAATACATATTATGAAAGCTCAGCCCAGCAGGGGTTTTTTTCCCATTTTTTTTTTTAGGGTACTCCCTCCTCTATTGTCATATGTCACAGGTCTCTACCACAATCTTTATTATACAAACTTCAGAAACATTTAATGAGCAGTTAGATTTTAAGGAGACATATTCTTCTTGGAGTAATATCCTTTTTGTTGTTGTGTGCCTCCTTCGATTTTCAGTGATAGCAGTGACAACCACATGATGGGCTATTTATTAAAAACCTAAGACAATACTGCAGTGAAAACACAGAATAAATGACTTCACATTTGATTCCATTATATAAGACCATGTATTTAGGAGCAACTCACAATCCATCTAAATTCAATAAATTGGCAGAGGGATGATCATAAAGTTATAGCTATTAAAAACTCTACAGAGCATAGTTTTATTCTGCAACACATAGAAGCACCATGAATCTTATTATATAGCAAAGGGATTATGTTTTCACATGTGATGTGTACAATGAATGGTTTAAAATTGGTGATATGATTCCCCAAAATGTAAAATATTAGTCCTAAATATGATTTATTGAAACATTATTATATATTCATTCTACTATTATATATTCATTCTATACTTAGTAAGGTTGGAACACAAAAGTTTTATTCTGTATTCTTTAAGACTTTCTAATCTGACAGACCATTCCAAGCAAATATGATATGTAAATTATTGCTAGTCACAGAAAGTGAAAAATGTAAATTCTGGGGGAAAAGAAAAATAGTCACAAATTAATCATGCAATATTAATTTGCTCAGTCAAATTCTTATAAATTTCTCGGAAAGGACCATAGACATGTTATAATATGCCATTGGTATAGATTACTTTTTAGTTTCAATTAGAACCACATAACACTATCCATTAACTTTCAAGTATACAAGTACTGCTGGAAAGGAATAAATCTCTACATTGAATAAATTAAAAAGTGATTTTAAAGTAAATTTCATTCTGGTTATTCTTATCACTATAATTCTGGAAATTCCAAATAAACAAAAACCAATATATATTTATTCAGAATTCCTGGTGGGATAGATGGGATGCTCCCTTGGAAAAGATGGGTGTTCTACTCCCATAAAATGTTAGAGTCTTGAAAACCCCCAGGGACTTTTACCCTGTCCTATATTACTTCCCCCCTTCTGTTTTAGAGAAGAAAATCAAAGCACAGATCGATTAAATTTGACTAAATTCAAACAGCTATGAATTCCAGTCAAGTCAAGTTGTCTTCAGATTCTGGGTTCTTAAATCCAATGTCGTAGAATAACTGTTGCAATTAGATGACCTCCCACCAGTTTCTAAGTATGGTGACCACATGCACAGCAGTTTTGTGCGATCCCAACAATCATTGCTATGTCTGAGCCCATTTTGCAGCCACTGTGACACATCTCATTGAAAAGCTTCCTTCTTTGCTGTCCCTCTAGCAGCATGATGCCTTCTCCAGGGACTGGTTCCACCTCAAGTTAAAACTAAGTGAGACAAAGTCTTGTCACCCTCATTTCTAAGCAATTTCTGGATGTACTACTATCAAAAGAGATTTGTTCAATGTTTTGACAGTCATAACATACTCAATCTTATTTGCCAGTGAATATGCAATGGCGTGGACCAGGTGCCATCTGATTCCTCAAAGTAACATCTATGTACTTTACCATTTAGAAGAGGTCTTATGTAGCAATGTGTCCAATGATGTACAGAGTGTGATATCTTGACTATTTGCTTCTGTAGCTATTGATTTCAAACACAAATAAAATGGAATCATTGACAATGTCGATCTTTTTTGTTTACGGAATGTTGCTTATTGCTTTCGTGGTGAGGTTTTTGTTTTGTCTATGTTGAAGTATAATTCATACTGGAGGTCTTTGGTCTTCATCCGTAAGTGTTCCAGGCACTCTCGGCTTTCAGCTAT